AATTTTTAGACTTTCTACTGATATCTCAAGTTCTAATCACATTTCAATAAAAATTGCTATGTGGATGCTCTTTAACATTGTGCAGACCTGTTTTATGTTAAAGTATGTGCATATTAATTACCTGATTTGCAAAATAAATAGTTTTAAGATTTCCCTCCAATATCTCAAGTACTAATCATCTTATTTCAATGAATCTTGGTACATAAAGACAATGCAAAGACATAATTATTTTTGGGTTTAAATACAACCATAATAATTACCTGATTTGCATTATTGGCTTTCCACCAATTTTATTTTAAGAATCAATCATCACATCTGGAACAATACACAAACCTGATTAGTTTGGGGTTGAAATACTTGCATAATAATTATCTAATTTGCATAATAATTAATAAATTTTCTACCTAAATCTCAAAAAGCAATTATTGCGATTCAATAAGATTTAGCATATAAGTTTCATGGGGACAATGCTAAAAATTATTTTAAGCTTGAAATTCAAGCATACTAATTGCCTAGTTTGCCTAATTTGTACATATCATTGAAATTTGGTACATACAGTAGATGCTCTGGGGTAATCCAGAGACATGATTAGTTTAATGTTGAAACCCATGCATATCAATTATCTAATTATTGCTAGCCAATTTCTGGTATCTCAAAAAATCAGATTTAAATTGAACTTGTGCTGGAGACGCTCTTGAATAAATTAGACTTAAAACCACAGATGTACTATAAATTTATTTTCTGTTAGTATTATAAACTTCAATCCTGTGGATCACATTGTTTTTATGTTGTGCATCTCAAATAACAGTCAAACTCTTGTTTGAAAGGCTAATCTTTGTATTGATTGTTAATTCCTCCAATACTCTCAGCACACATGAGTTCTTTCTAAGCTTTCTTTGATTAATTTACTGTATTAATGTACACAGTAATCTTAGTGTATGAATGATTGCTTTCTGACACTGCATCAGAGATGTTGTTGATCTGAACTTCAGGAGTATTGGTGAATAATAACTTTAAAACTTTAAAACTATCAGGCTTCTACTGAGGGAGATTTGAAATTAAATCTTAATGTCTCAACCAATGAACTGTTGTTGTAAACCATATATATACTGTAAATGTTAACCATATTCTGAAATTTATAATTTGGTATGTATATGTTACTTGTGGAAAAAATAAAATGATATTTTGTTTACATATTTTTTTGTGTATTTTGATATATTTCAGATAGCAGTGCTTGGCCATCTGATCCATGTAACTTCTGCACTTGTGTCATGATATTGTTG